CGAAGGACAATGGAAAATATGCTTTGAAATTGATTTACCCAGTGATGATATCAGAAACTTTACGAGTTTAACGAAATTTACACGATAACGGTCTCCAACGTGCTTTATAATTTATCAATTATTTATCGATTACACATGATACTTGTGACGAAATAAAAAAATAACGTAAACAATAAGAAAAAAAAAAAAAGAAAAAAGAAAAGAAAATATCGTCTAGTTGTTTAGTCAATTATCAAAGCATATGCTCTGAACGATAGTTCGTCTAAAACTAAACTAGATGCCACGCTTTCAATAATATAAATTCGAGGTAAACAAGATCGGCGTAAACAAACGAATGAAAAATCTTTCATTGAAAGGTATATACGAGATTACCGCCTACGAAGTATGGTTGAGTTCTTTGACACTTATTACAATTAAATTTTACTATATATTATATTCGAATATTCCAAAATAATTGGGAAATGTTTTAGCGTCTGATTTTGATTTGTTTAAACAATAAAAAGAAAACAAGGAAGTTCGTATAAATATATGTCCTATTTGACTTTGTTTTCGTGTTATAACAGATTTGACTTTCAACAAATATTGTTTGTTTACTTTCATAAAAGATGTTTAAAATGATTCTGAATCAATACATTCAGACAAATTTTGAATCGAAGCAAGTCATACAAACGTTTTATCAGTGACTATCTTTATAAATGACTTACTCTTTTCATATGTCCAGATGTTGCACGGATTTGTTGGAAATTCCGTTTAATTCTTTCATTGAGTTTCATCCATCTAATGAAAGAACTGTTCGCTATAAAAAATTATACGAAATATAATACGAAAACAAAATAACAAAAAATATATTTTTGTACGAACTGTTTTTTTGTTATTGTTTAGATACGCTTATATCGTTTAGATACGTTATAAAATATTTTCTATTTATCTTTGGACAACATTAATATCATAAATTATTATTCAGACTCGTCTCGCTCTATTCATTCTATTTTAACATTTTAGATTTTAAATGGAATATTCCCTAACAGGTAATATATAATATATATATATATATATATATATATATATATATATTATATATATATAAAACAATGATATTATTTAACAAATAAAGTTTAACATGTACATAACAAAAGATACGTCTACGTACATATACATGTACATGTACGATCCATATAAAATATTCCCAAAAAAGTTTCCCAAGAACAATGAAAAAAGAAAATGAAAGAAAATAAAAAAAAATCGATTACATATATCGTAGACTTACCGAATACGCTGCACGACGACCAACCAACTAGTTAACCTGTTGATCGTCGAGAAGATTGCACCGGTAATTCATTTCTACGTCGTTTAACCCCGTCAAATCGAAATAACTTCGTAGGAAACGAAGAAGGATGATCTCTCTAGTTGGTATCTGGAAAAAGAGAAAGAGAAAGAAAAATAAAACGAAACGAAACGAAAGAAGAGAAAAACGAAACAAATGAAAAAGGAGGCGAATAAAAAATGATAGAAAGTTAAAAAATAGAGAAGGAATAAAAGAAAGAAAAAAAGAAAGGTGGAAAGAAAAAGGGAAATGAAGAAATTCAAGGAAAAAAGAAGAAGAGGGAGGAAGAGAGATGAGAGAGAGAGAGAGAGAGAGAGAGAGAGAGAGAGAGAGAGAGAGATATATAACGTATCGAGAAGTGAACTTTCGATATTTACAAATATCGAATCGAGATGTATAGAACACGAGAGAAAGCGTGAGTACCTGCCTCGTCGATGGCCCGCACGCTACTGAGGGGGTAGAACGCGTATATAAGTCACCCTCGCTCTCTTCCTCATCGCATCCCTACCTCTTTCTCTTTCTCTTTCTATCTATCTATCTGTCTATCTCTCTCTTTCTCTCTACCTCCCCCTCATCCCCCTCTCTCCCTCTCTCTCACTCTCTCTCTTGTTCTCACTGCTCGTATACCTTTCTCAAATTCGTTCCAAATTACCAACTCTTTTTTTATTTTTGTATTCTGTTTTTTTCCTTTTTTTTCCATTCGATTTGTTACAATCTATTTCATATCAAATAATTCGAACCTACGGAATGACCTTTGAATTTACGTACCACTGTTTTTTTATCTCTTTTATCGCACAAGATTTATTTTTCGCGCGAAATTCATATATATATATATATATATATATATATATATATATATATATATATATATATATTGTTGAATATAAGTAAGTAGATTAAATAAAATAAATGTCGATCATTCCAAACGATTTTTCGATCATTATCGATCAAGTATTTTTATTAAGATTATATTGAACAAAAATTATGATTTTTATACCGTGCAAGAGGAAAAAGTAAATTATAAAGATCGTACGCTTAAGTTACGCGTAACAAAAAAAAACAGGATTAATTCTAACAGGTTTATTTCAAAATACTAATCTTAATACTAATTAGAATGAATTTAAAAGAATAATTAGAAAGGAAATCATAAAAAAGAACATACACCCATCCAAACAGAATAACGTTCATTAAGGATTGAAAGTTACTTTATGATTTAGATAAGATTTAAGATCTATCTAATATCTAACTAAGATTTTACTAATATTAAGAGAAACAATTGTCTATTGGATTTTTTGTTATTCTTGATTGCAATATTGAACGAGAAAAATGTTAATAAGTTTATAATTATATGTATGTACTGTGATAATTCAAACCAATGCTCCACATAATCAAGATATAACAAAAGAAAATAAGCCGATAAACTGTACGAAGTAATCATAACTTTGAAAATGCAAAGTTAAGTACTTACCTATTTACTTACGTGTTCTTTAAAAGCTTTTACGACGCTCATCGATGTAAGACGTAAGACGTAAACCATAAGAATTTCATTCTTACGAAATTTTTCCGCCCCTGAAACTTATGCTGTTTCGTTGTCGAAAAATCTCGAGGGAAATACAGTTGACTCTGATCAAAATGGATTTCTTTATGGTTTGCATATAATATATGTATCACATCGAGGCATGAGTGAAGGACTCAATACTCATACGTTACTTAACCCTCTGTGAAATCAAAAGAAGAACAGGGATGTAAAAAAAGAATACCTTTAAAAGAGAAAAGAACGTAGAATACTTAATCGAGTAAATGGATCATGTAAAGAATGTAATCGACAAATGGTAACTAGGATTCGTGAATGAGCAAAAAGAATTCGAAAGGATAAGAGAGAGAGAGAGAGAGAGAGAGAGAGAAGTTAGGAGGATATGAGGGATGGGATGAAAAAAATTTGCGAGAAAATGAAAGGGATGAAAAAGAAAGAGAGAAAGAAAAAAAGGTTGTGTAAAAAAGATGATTTTTTTTAGAAAAATTTTTCTGTTATAATTTCATTACATCTTTCTTATTTTTAATAAACTTATATACGTAAATGTAGAAACTTTTCATAGAATTCTAAATGCAAATTCGAATCTACTATTTTTGGTGTTCAATTTTCGCAAAAACTATTTAATTACAAAACAAAAACGATCGTGAATGTAACGACGTGAAAGAAAAATATTACGTAAAATAGGTAAAACTCAGGAGGAAAAGAAAGAAAGAGTTATTTATTTTTGTTTACGTTTTATATTCGAAAAGTCTAATGTTTCAAAAAGTTTTGAAAGTACATATTAATCTGTTTTTATCTTTGTACTTCGTCCAAAAATATCTTCGACGAGTTAATCAACATCGTGGAATTAACGAACAATTTAATTAGGTACTTATCCTGAGCGTCAAAAAATTTCTCTTTTTTCTTTTTTTTTTTTTTTTTTATTAATAAATCTTGAGCCTATTTAACTTTTCAAAGTTCTGTAATACAGTTCTTTGATTTAGAAAAAAAAAATATATATATATTTTTTTATCCTCGCGATACTACTTCCATCTCCTTGGAAAATTTCGAAACATTAACTCGTCCTACCGACCCATTCGATAAAACGTTAAATAGATAAACGTTGCTAGAGTATAAAATGATAAACAAACGTTGCTATTTATTACTCAGGAATATATCGAATAGTATAATATATCTGCCGTTATCATGAATTTCTAGAGATATCAGAAAAAAGAAATAGTACAAACATGTAAAAGATAGATTGTATTCGATAACGATATTTTTTATCTACTGACAATTCAAATGAATCATATTGTGAAAATAAAAATGAATAAAAAAAAAAAATAATAATAATAATAATGAAATGATCAAAGACATAAATATAAATAATGAATGACTCGATCAAATTCTATTTTAACGTATTAATTTCTTAAAGGATAACTCTTATCTATCGATAATGTGAAATTATCACTATTCACATTACCATTCACATTATTGTTCCTTTCGTAAGATTATATTTTTTAAACATTTTATCTCTTTCTGCATACTTTTACATCATATATTCAAATATATGTATATATATATATATATATATATATATATATAATATTCACATTTTTAATTTATTATATACATTGTATGAAACGTTCCGTTAAATTACCTGCGTGTATTACCTCACTAGTAACTAACTTATCTCTCATCTGGTAAAAGAGTATCATACGATAAGTATAATACAGTATCATACGTTAACAGTATCAATATGAAATATATCTAATCATCTATAAATGTCGATAAAAGGATATAATTGGAATTTTAAAAATACATCGAATGTCACGAAAAATATGAATATTCCTTATAATTTATTTATTGAAGATATATTTGAAATTATATTTAAATGTCAAAATTCATAGTATACAATTTTATCGAAAGAAATTTAATATATTGATCCGTAGTTATACAGAAAGCTAACATTAAAATGTAATAAAATATTGATTATTATGAAAAAGATTCTTAACTGTTTATTTTATTTTTTTGTTTTATTTATTTATTTTTTTTTTTTTTTTGAGAAAATAAAAAAAGTAAAGATATACTTGATAGATATATGAATGAATAACGAGAGTGGGGTGAGATAAACAAGCTTATAATATCGTTGAGTGCAGACATTTTGTTAGTTGCAATCGCGATCTTCGTCCGGCAACTACGCACCGATTACTTTTATCGATTGGAAGAACTTTACGAGTATTTTTTTTTTCGGGATCAATCTTCTGTTAATCATTAAGAGTAACAATGTCACCAAGAACATTTATTGTTAAATTCGATCGGCCTAATGCTACTTACTTGCCAGGAGAAAATATAACCGGCTGTATTATCATCATATTGAACGAGAAAAAAAGTGTTCGAGGTAAAAATATCTTTCAAAATGAACAAAAAGCGCGTCTAATTTTAAATATATACGAATGAGAAAGGGAAACGATTGTCCATCAAACAAAAAAGAGATTTGCTATTTGGAAAATCTGTAAGAGACTAATGAATATGTATGTGCGAGCACAATCTTGTGTGTGTGTATGTATGTATGTATGTATGTATGCATGTATGTATATATGTATGTATGTATGTATGTATGTATGTATGTATGCATGTATGTATGTATGTATGTATGTATGTATGTATGTATGTATTTAAACAATGAGGAAGAAAGACATCAAACAATTTTTCTGTTCCAAGAAAATCATTAAATATAATGTCAACTTTTATCGATTTCTTAATTTATACTATTACATGACATTGTATTTTGTGAACGCATGAAAGAATTTTATCGACGCAGAATGATAATAATAAAAATTATTATACAATATACAAGAATTGTGTTAAATAAATAATAAATATGTTATTAATTTCTTATATGTAACATATATCTCGTTGATACATCACGTTGATATATCGCCCTGAATGATTGAAACGCTATCTAATCAATTCTTTGAACTTCGATCGATAACGTAGCATTTTTATAAAAAAAAAAGAATACTCTATGAAATAATAATTCCGATGTTCATTATCCATATAAAGAGAAATAAAAAATAAATAAAAGCGTTAGCGTGACAGAAAAAAATGATCTACCTTTTCTTGTCGTAACATACTAAAATGTTATCACGATCACATAAATTATTTACCATGTAAAATGAAAACCTTTGTCAAAATAGAAACAATAATTATGAATGATTTACAAATATATTTTTATTTAGGTAATGAGTTACATTATAATCTATGCAATTTTTAAAATAAATCGAATAATATAATACATCATTTCTTATTTATCATTTATTGTTATGATTCATTTTATCGATAGAGATAATAATAATATTAATAATTGATAATTAAAATTATCATCGTTAATTTATTATTATACGAAATATCATTATACGAAAAAAATTTTATTTAAATAAAAAGATTAAATCAAAATATCGACAAATAATATAGAAAAAAAAAAAAACGTACGAATTGCAGATCTAAAAGTACATTTCAAAGGAGAAGCTTATGTTTATTGGACGACAACGCGAACAGAACGAGATATACACGGGAAAATCGTGACAGTGACTGATGTTCATACTGCCACTGAAAAATATTTCAGTATAGAACAATCTTTGTTAAGAAGATTACCCGGTAAGCATAAATTAATCCTAATAAATATAAAATTGTTCAAATGAAAAAAAAAAAAAAGATTTAAATTTATTAAAAATTCTCGTTTGAAATAAAGAGAATGACAGAGTAGAACTTCCGGAAGGACAGAGCGAATATTATTTTTCATTTCAATTGCCGAGAAATGTACCGTGCAGTTTTGAACACGAAGTCGGATATATTCGTTATACGGCAAAAGCAATCGTCGATATACCATGGAGATTTGATTGGTGGACAAAATCTGCTTTCACCGTTGTTGCTCCGTTTGATTTAAATCCCATTTCGCACCAATGTGTAAGTTATCCTTTTTTTTTTTTTTTTGTAATAAGAAGAAAAGAAAACAGAAACAATATAAATGAAATATAAAATTTCTCTTCCTTTTAAGATGGGAGTCGACGATGAGATGTCGAAAGATTTCTGTTGTTGTTGCATCAATACAGGCTCAATACATGTTCGAATAAAAATACCAAGTTTAGGATATGTTCCAGGACAATTTATAATGACCGAAGTGATATCAGATGTAAAATCGTCGAACATTAACATAACAAGAATTTCTACAAAATTGGAAGAAGTAATTATTCTCTGATCATTTTGAATATATATATGTGTGTATTTATATATATGTTCATAATCCTATCGCTATATAATCAGATTTGTAGGTAATTACATTTCTTGCGCACGGCTCAGCAAAGAGAGAAGAACTCATGATACAAAAGAGTCAAGACGATGGACCAATTGGAACAAATCATCAAACAAATCTAAAACTTTATGTTCCACCTATTCCACCATCTAATTTAAATTATTGCAGTATCATTCAATTGGAATATCGTCTACGTGTAAACGTTCATGTTAGTGGCATGTGAGTCTAAAACAATATCTTTTTTCCTTAGTTTTCATTTTTTAACACGTAGCGCGTCGCACAGTAAAACAAAAACAAACAATACAAAAATAACAAGGTCACGTGAACGCGAAGTGTGTTATAATATCTTAAAATATTATTTCTAGCAATCGATTATCTTATTTTACTCAACAGGCATAAAAAGATCGATAAAAAATATCCAATATTTATTGGAACAATACCTTTATTTTCTTCATCATGGACTCCATGGACTCAAACAGCTCAAGATATTCAGCCGACAGCACCAACAATTGATCAAGAACCATCAGTGTCCAATCCTATGCCTGTACCAATACCTGGATTTGTTCAACCACCAGAAAAAGTAACTAATTTACCAGTAATGCCTCAACCTAATTTCAACGAGCCTCAATCACCAAATCAACCAATAGGATGGGATATACGTGAGTCGAAAAAGTTCTTGAATTTTCGAATTAATTTTTTAAATAAATAATTTATTTTATTTTTTCTTTTCTTTGTAGCACCCCCTTCTTACGAAGAATGTATGCGAAGAGCTAATAATATCAAGGACGATGATGATTCCAATTCTGTTTATGGCGCAGATCAGCCATTTGCACCAAGATATCCAGTTTTCAATTTTATGTTACCTTGTAAGTTTATACACACATATGCAATATATTTCCATTTTTATTATTTTTTATTTGTACTCTGATTATCACATTATCGTATCTTTTCAGATCCACCTAAGTAAATAATGTTATGTTATATCCGTAAATTTAATAAAAACGTATATTAAAATACAAATACCAATTTAAATTCAAGATTAAAATTACTTTATTTTTAATGTTGTATTGACGTCTACGTGATGTTTAAATAAAAAAAAAAAAACATTTTTTTAAAACAATTATATAGACTTAATTATAATATTATATAGAGTAAATTATTATTTAATTATCAATATTAGTACAGTACACTAAAGCGTTATCGATATCTTAGATGAATATTGAGTAATAAAAGATATTCTTTATTCTAATCTGTGAATACGAAATAAGAGAGCTGCAATGTTTACTATTTAAGATTCAATTGTCGTTATTATTATTACAGTAGTAGTAATAGTAATAGCAGCAATAATAATAATATATAAATATAAAATAGATATAAAAAAAAAGTATAGGAAAATTACAAAAAAAAAAATAATTTTATCAATTCTACCTCATAGAAGGTAGAACATAAAAACGAACTCATATTTTGATTTTTGTCAAAATAATATGTAATATATACATTCAAAAAGAATAAATTAGTTAATTATGTTCGTTTACGTTGATAAAATAAAATAAAAAGAAAAAAAAAGTGAAGAAATTCATCCAGCCTCGAACTTACGATTCTTGAATTAGAAACTTGGATGTTTGTTATTCTGCTAAAAAATCTCTTTCTTTTGAAAATTCTAATACATTTCTAAAGCATAAAATATATAGGGAATTATAAAATTTTTGTTATATCTAACAATATCAATGATTGAACAAGTATTTCCTTACTTTTACCGATAGAATCCGAATGTTCATAGTTAAAATGACCTTGAATGAGTTATCGTAGCTTCTCCGTCTGATGCATCACAAAATGCATTTCCTTGCATTTAGAATGGATTAAAAAATTTGAATATCAGTTTAAGCACACAAACCTACAGACAATGCTTTGTGAATTTTCTACAACAATTCACGGAAACAAAATACATATACCACTCATGCGTTTGTAGAAAATCAGTAACGCTGGTACTTAATCTCTTTGATCGCAAAGTTCAAAGGACGTCGCTAATTTACCTTTTTTTTGTCAGGAAACTTCGTCACAAAAGATGTCGAAAACAGCATTTATGGCAGGAAACGAAATTCTTGATCGACTTTATTAAACATGGTCTTTATTTTTGTGCATAAATTATTCTCAAAGAGTCGCGTCATTTATTGACGCGATTTCTTTTACTTTTTCTTTTTCCTTTTTCCAAAAGAAAAATAAAACTTATTGAAAAATTCGATAAAGCCATGTCCTCGATTGAAGGTTCAATCTTTAAAATAAGACCTTGTTAATTAAAATTGATAAAAAATTACGTTTTTACATGTTGTTGACGTAAACCATTATAAAAACAATGAGTGATAAACGTGCGTTAACTTATCAGAAAATGAGAAATTCAAACACTTAACAGACATTTGGTTAAATCGATTTAAGTAATAAAAGTGGGGATACTGATAGCCTAGCAAAGAGTTTGCGTGCGAACATTTTATTAGTCACTAAAGTAATCGTCTTCTGGTAGCTTCGAGTAATCTATTTTTGTTCTGCTTTACTTGACAATCATTTTGAAAAACTTGCAAGTTTATACTTTTTTGTTTTTTTTTTTTCTTATCAACGTTCTTCAATCCTACAGACAATAAGAATGTCTCCGAGTATGTTTGTCATCAAATATGATCGATCTAATGCGGCTTACTTCCCAGGTGAAAATATAACCGGTCGTGTTATCATCATATTGAGCGAGAAAAAAAGTGTTCAAGGTAAAAAAAACCTTTCAAGATCAATAAAACGCATGTGTTATTTTTCAAATATATGAATAAAATGAAGAAACGAGAATATCTATAAAAAAAAAAAAAAAAAAAAAAAGAAAAATATTCTATTTTGAATTCTGTGAGAGAGTGACTGAATATGTGCATGTATGTAAACGTGTATATGAGCGTTTATACAGCAAGAAAGAGAGAGAGAGAGAGAGAGAGAGAGAGAGAACAGTCATCGAACTTTTTAACAATCATCAATTTTTAATTAATTTCCTTTATAAGAAAGTACAACTTATAGAAAAGTAACAATGAATTTTATCGATCGTATTATTTATCAATTTCTAAATTCATACTATTAAATAATACTCTGTATTCTATGAATACTTCAAAATATTTTATTGACATTGAATGGTATAAAATTATTATACAATATAGAACAATAATTGCGCTAAACAAATAACGAATGCATTATGAATTTCCTGTATGTATTTAATCATTGGATTGAATTTGCATTTTCCGTTGAAATTGCCTGAAAGAAATTGAAATGTTACCTGATCAATCTTTTAAACTTTAATCGATCGTTTTGTTATATTTTTTTCAAAGAAATCATTGAAAGATAATAATGTCAAATTTCTTTATCTGTGTAAAATAAAATCATAGGAGATAAAGGAAAGTATTAGTGTGATAAAGGAAATGACTCATATTTTTATCGAAACGTTTTAGGATAAAATATTTAGAAGAAGCATTAACATGAAAAAGATCAATTATTTAAGATTATAAATAGTAATTATTTATGATTCAGAAATATATCTTGAATATACGAGTAATAATACTTTTCTATCTAACAATTTTAAAAGTAAATGAAAATGTATAGTCATCATTTATTATTAATCATTTATTGTTATAATTTACTGTATCAATAAGAATGATGATATAAATTAAAATTAACATTATGAATTTTAACTCTTTTCGATAGAATTTCATTTAGTTAAGAACCCAAAATAAATATGTTCATGAAACAAACGATATTTCAGATATAAAAGTACATTTCAAAGGAGAAGCTCATGTTCATTGGTCAACGGGAAGTGAAAATGATTCCACATTGACTGGTGATCACACTGCCAGTGAAAAGTATTTCAGTATAGAACAATCGCTGCTAAATAGATCGACCGGTAAATATTATATAAGTTAATCTTAATAAATATATAAAATTTTCAAACGAAACAAATAAAATATAAATTTATTGGGAATTCATTTGAAATACAGAGATTGTTAGAACTGAACTTCCGGAAGGACAGAGCGAATATTATTTTTCATTTCAATTGCCGCAAAATATACCGTGCAGTTTTGAACACAAGATTGGATATATTCGTTATACGGCAAAAGCAATCGTCGATATACCATGGAGATTAAATTGGTGGACGAAATCTGCATTCACCGTTGTCACCCCATTTGATTTAAATCCCGTTTCGCATCAATGTGTAAATTATCTTTTTTTTTTTTTTTAAGAAAAAGGAAAAAAAAGAAAAAAAAAGAGAGAAAAATATACAATAAATAGAATATAAAATCTTTTCTCATTTCTGTTTCAGGTTGGAATAAATGAAGAGACAATGAAAGATTTTTCCTTTTGTTGCTTCGATAAAGGCTCGATAAACGTTCAGATAAAGATTCCAAGTTTAGGATACGTTCCAGGACAATTTATAATGACCGAAGTTATATCAGATGTTAAATCGTCGAACATTAACGTAACGAAAATTTCTACGAAACTCGAAGAAGTAATTATTTTTCAATAATTTTTAATATAGTTATATATAAGTCTACATTTCCATCCGTATAGTGATTAACTAGATTTCCAGGAAATTATCTTTCACGCACAAAGCTTCACAGAAAAAGCCGAAATTTTGGTACAAAAGAATCACGAAGATGGACCAATTGGAAAGCATCATCAAACTAATTTGAAACTTTATATTCCACCTTTGCCACCGTCTAATTTAGAACATTGTGGTATCATTGAATTGAAATATTGTCTACGTGTTAAAGTTCATGTCAACGGCATGTGAGTCTACAACAATTTCTTTTTTTATTTTCTCTTCCTGTTTGCATCGTTTAACAACAATTTACCCGTCGCACAATAAAATAGAAAAACAAATCAACAACATAAAAATAATAAACCGAATGATCACTTACGGATCACATGAACTCACTACGTATTAAATAAAACCTTACAAGTTTTTCTAAACAATCAATTATCTTATTTTATTTAATACAGGCATACAAAGATCGATAAAAAATATCCAATATTAATTGGAACAATACCTCTATTTTCTTCACCATATACATCATGGACTCAAGTAGACGATACACAGCCAACAGCACCAACAATTGATTATGAACCACCGATGTCTATTGCCATAAAGCCTATGCCTATAACAATTACTGAACCACCAAGTAGTGTAACCGATTTATCAGAAATTACTCAATCTAATTTGAACGAATTCCAATTAACAAATCTATCAATAGGAACGAACATTCGTGAGTCGAAATAATCTACAGTTTTTGAAATAAATTTTCCAAATTTTTGAAAGTAAACAATTTATCTTGTTTTGCTTTCTTTTTTTCTTAGCACCTCCTTCTTATGAAAAATGTATGCAAAAAGCCGATAATATCAAGGACAATGATGATACGAATTCCGTTTATGGTGCAGATCAACCATTTGCCCCAAGATATCCAGTTTTCGATTTTAGAAATCCTCGTAAGTATTTACACAAACACACACACATACATATACACACACATACATGTGCAATACGTTTTTATTTTTATTTTGTTGTTGTTATTAAAATCCTTTTAATTTATATTATTATTTCTTTTCAGATCAATCTAATTAAATAATCTCAGATTAGATTCATTCATTTCTCTAAAAAATATGACTGTACTATATAAAATATCATAAATAAAATTACGATAAATCAAAACGGAAGTATAGAGTCTGTCTCGTATAATCTATATTCAGCACTTGAGTTATGATTACTATCTGTACAATTCTTTTTAAGTTATATGTCAGCGTTTCTATATTTATAATTCCTTATAATAACCATTAATTATGTATATATGTATATATTATATAATCTTCGTATGCTCTCAATAATAACTTACATACATGCAACGAATATTGTTATTTTTGTTCTTCATTTTTTGTTTGTTTCATATGTATCATAATATTAAAAAAAAAAAAAAAAAAAAAAAAAACGGGAGATCCTGTTTTGAAATATTTCTCAGAGATCGCAAATGAACGTTCTCGTTTTTTACTAATTACAAAATTAATAGCTTCTTTGAAAAAAAAAACCTGTAGTATATTTATAGAATTCATTTTTAAATCTCAATATTGTCACAAGAGTTAACAATGAAAATTTATTCTTTAGAAATATATATATATATATATATATATATATATATATATATATATAAAATTATTTTTTGGACATCAAGTAGTCTATTCCAAGATAAATACATATTATAAAACATTATCGGAGAAAGTTCAACAAATCGATCTATTCACTCGCTTAAATTATTAAGAATAAAGGATTACGAAAGATTGATTATTAAAAAGAAAAGGAGATAGAAAAAAGTAATGAAAAACAGAGAAAAAATTCTTAATTGATTTTTATTTTTAATCAAAAGACATGAGAATTGTAGAAGGAGTAAACGATCAATTCAATTAACATATGTTAAATCACTTCGAATGAGGAAAAATATTAAAGGCCAACAGGCTTAGCAACGTGACGAGAACCTGTTACGTGAAAAGAATCTATTAGTCGTCAAAGCGATCATCGTCTGGCAACTCCTCGCGAATTATTTTTGTTCACTTTAATCAATTCAAAGAATTTCCACAAGTTTCTTTCTTCGGGATCAACGTTCCGTGATCGTGAACAGTGAAGATGTCTCCAAGGATGTTTGTTATCAAATATGATCGAGCTGATGTGACTTACTTGTCAGAAGAATATATAACCGGTTATGTGATCATCGAATCGAATGGGGGAAAAAAACATATTCGAGGTAAAAATACATTTTATTATCGGCGAAGCACGTGTTATTTTTAATCTATACGAATAAGGTTAAGAAACGAGGATCTATCGATTTCATCGAATCATCATTCCAATTATTATTTCGTTTTATTTTGTTTGAAATGATGATTTAGCTATATAAAAAAAAAATCTATGATTTTGAAAGTCTTTGAAAGAGCAAAAAGTGAACATGATTTGTATATGCGTGTGTGTATGTGTATGTGTGCGTATGTATGAGTGTTTGTGTATGTTTATAAAACGAGAGAGACAGAAAGAAAATTTTTAGTCGCCAAATAAATTTTCTTTTATAAAATATAACGTATAAAAAAGACTTTCATCGATCGTATAATTTATCGATTTTTTAATTGATATTATTAGATGATATTGTTTTCCATGAACATGTAATTTACCTTATAATATTACTTTACGACATTAAATATAAAATTATTATAGAATATATAAAAATAATTGCATTAAATAAATAATAAATACATTGTCAATATTTTCTATATGTATTAATCACTGAAATATTATCTTAAAAGATCAAAATGTCTATCTAAACAATTTTTTAATCTTCAATTGGTCATCTCGTTGTATTTTTTTAAATAAGCTCACTTTAAAAGAATAATTATGAGATTCGTTATATTATACCGAGTGTTTCAGTTTAAATGATATATTCAAATATCTATGAACCTATTGATTTTATAAATTAAAAAAAAAAAAATGTTTCATATAAAGTTTCATAGGTTTTCAAAGGAAAATGTAATATTTATTGCAGTTATTTACACCGTAGATAATGCTATTTTCAAGATGTGTAAATCATAATAATTTTTTTTTTTTAATGGAAATCGATATTTTAATTCGACAAAAAATTGTAGAAAATACGAATCCGACGAGAGCATTTCATATGAATGAACCTTTTCATCAATATTTCATCCAATTATGATGGCGTATTAAAATTTAATGGACCGTACAATCGCAATAATACAACCAATTTTCCTTTATAAACGTCTGATAACCGATGAATTTGTTAAACAAATTTTGTTTTCGTTTTTCTATTTATTTAGTTATATTTTTTCATAGATTTAAAAAATTGTTTCCATGCAAAAACAGTGAAAAGGAACATTATTGTGATTACAGAGTTCATTAAACATCAAGGCACTCTAATTCGATAAATAATACACTGTAAATACTCGTTGAATTTGCACTGATATTCTCAAGAATTTTTCTTTTTTATTTTAAAAAATTTTTATGACTTTCATATATTGAAATTAGTGCTGTCTATGAAATAACTGCAATAAATATTACAATTATTCCTCCTGCTATACCTTTTAAAATAAGACACCTAATATAAAGTCCAATCAAAGATAAAGTGTAAATGTGATAGTGAAAATAATCCTTTTATCATGGATAGAAGATAGCATAGTAGTATGAAACATACAAAAGAATTATATGCAAAATGTTAATTATGTTAATTTCAATAAAAAAAAAAAGTAATTATATACATATCATGAATATATTTTTAATTAAGTAATATCTTACTTTTTTATCTACGTAATATTTAAAGTAAATTGAACAGTATGATTACCGTTTACTTCATTAATTATTTATTGTTACAATTTATTTTATCGATAAAAATGATAATATAAATGATCGATCAATAAAATTAACATTGTAAATTTTACTTTTTCGATAGGATTTTATTTAAATTAAAAAAAAAAAGAAAAAAAAGAAAAAAAAAAAAAAAGAAAAAAAAAATCCGAGTAATGATATCTGAATGAAACAAACGAATTCCAGATTTAACAGTACATTTCAAAGGAAAAGCTTATGCTTATTGGGCAACAATGGAAACAGAACAGGATATAAAACGGAAGTGCTAATAAGCATAAGTTAATTTTAATAAATGTTCATTGTTCCAATGAAAAAGAAAAAGATTTAAATTTATTAAAAATTTTCATTTGAAATATAAAGAACGACGAGATGATACTTTTCGATTATCAAAAAACGTATCGTACAGTTTTCAATACAAAATTGGATATATTCGTCATTGACAAAAGCAATAATCGATGTATCATGGAAATTGAATTGAAACACAAGATCTACATTTATTGTTGTTACACCGTTCGATTTGGATACGTTTTCGCATATAATGTGTTAACTATTTTTTTCTTTTTTCTAATTAAGAAAAAAAAATATAAAAATGGAATATAAAATTTTCGTTTCAGGTTGGAACAGATGAAGAGACATCAAAGAATTTTTCGTTTCATTACTTCGACGATAAATGTCCGAATAAAAATACCAAATTCAAGATACGTTCTAAGGCAAACTATTATATAAAGACCAAAGTATTCATAGCTGTAAAATCATCGAACATTAATGTAATGAAAATTTATACGAAACTAGAAGAAGTAATTATTTTCGATATATATATATATATATATATATATATATATATGTGTGTATGTATATGTATATAAGTTTAAAATCCTAACGACATAATCAACAACTAAATTTTTCAGGTGGAAGGTCTCACAGTAAAACAAAAAATCATGATAGAAAAAAACCAAGTCGAATTACCAATTAGAACGTCAATCGAACAAAACTGAAACTTCATGTTACATTTCTTCATGTTCCATCAATCTAATTTCTAACATTATGATATTATTGAATTTGAATACAGTTTATATGTAAACATTTATGTCAGTGGCATATGAGTTTAAAATAGTTTTCGTTTCTTTTTTCATTTTTTAACACGTTTCACAAGATACATTAAAATAGAAACAAATTAACAATACAAAAATAATAGACTAAATGAGCACCACTAATCATATAAACACGCAATATGTTAAATACAGATAATTACATGTGTATGGTAAAAATGTTTGTTTGATGAATGGTAACATTTATGAACAGTTACAAAAATTAAAAGTTTTTAGATATGCGCATTCAATCAGTGACCTTTTGCGTAGAGCTTATATTAAGCATATTAGATTCTGAAACTAAAATTTTGTTTCTAACGTGTTCTTTTTACTAAACTTATATATATATATACACATCTATAACTGTGATTTAATTAATTCATACGCCGATCAACTTACCATAGTTTTAAAAGTCAGCAAAGGATTCATTAAAGGATATTAACAGAAGAATAAGCTTTGAAGGATATATTTGAATATTGATTTATCGAACGTGCATCAAGGATAGGACATCGTGTTCACTGAATATTCAAACAATCGTTACATGTGCGTGATCTCTGAAATATTTAATGATATACATTTGTTTTGAATTAATTAAGCAAAATGGAAAATTTACTTCAAGTACCCGAATCAAACAACGGTATTGAGAAACTGTATATAAGCATAATTCGTTTAGTTCGTTGTATAAATAATGAAGATGTTGATTTTAATGAAAAAGTTAAATAAGCGATCGAAAATTTAATATTAATCGATTTGTTAGGAATATACAACCTAATACGTACAAATTGCACAGAAATTCGAGAGTATGTAGCACGGCAAATTAGTCAGAAATTAATAAATTAGAATAAAATTAAGAACAAAGGCACGATGCAAGAGGAAATATTAAAAGCAGTACAGACAACCGATTTACGAAACCATACGCTATACAACATAAACAACGACGAGTTAGAATCTTCAGGAAAAATTCTCTTATTAAAAGACATAATTCTACCTTTCAATGGCTGTGGCAATTGTCCTGTTGAAACGTGACTGGAACCGTTCGAATGTAACCCAAGATTATTTAATTTATCGGACGTGGATAAGCTTATACTCGCGAAGGAATCATTGACAGGATTGGCTGCCACTTAGTTCGTTAAAAAAAAAAAAAAAAAGACAAGAAATATTTACCTGGGAAAAATGGAAATCGTTATTATTGAAAAAGTTCTTGGCTAAACCTGACAATGTAAATCTGCAAGACGAATTACAACAACGGAAGTAATTCCTAAAATTCCGTAAAATTAAGAAAGGTGAAACGGTGAAGGACTATTATTTGATTATGAAGGAAATTGGTTTATAAAGGAAGAGGAGATCGAAGATAATGACTTGATCGAATCCATGATTAATGGCATTAAGGATGATTCAAGTTGAAAATTGTAATTATATAAAAGTGGCGATCTTAATTAGCTTAAAGTAAAACTCGAAATTTACAATTTGGTGAAGAAAAAAAAGACAGATTTTATGATCGATCATCTACCGATAGGTAAGTCAGATATAACTGTTTTGCGATGTTTTAATTGTAACGATAAGAATCACACAGTTGTTACTGCTTGCTCTAAAACCAATTAATAAAAGAGATTCCTGGTAGATGTGCGAAACGACAGATCACTAGAAATAGAATTGTTCTCGTCTCGGAGAAGATTCGATATCGGCGTGAAATAACTTTAACTGATCGATTAGAACAAAACTTGATCATAATATCCAATAATACTATTGAAACTATACCGATAAAATTATATTGTTTAGATATAAACGATTTTATAGTGATATTGGATCCTCATTTAAATAAAAATCAAACAAATCATAAGGAATACGTAAGCATCGACGAAGGCGCAGTTGATACGTGATCTTTTATGAAACGCGTTATATCAAGCCTTAGAATCTTAAATTATATCTTTTTTCTTGTGTGCTTGTTTTTACTGATATACATGAACATGAAAAAACGAGAGAGAGAGAGAGAGAGAGAGAGAGAGAGAGAGAGAGAGAGAGAGAGAAAGAGAAGGAGGAAGGGAGAGAGAGTGATAGGGAGAAAGAGAGAAAGAGAGAGGGGGAAAGAGAAAGAGAGAGAGAGAGAGAGAGAGAGAGAAAATGATAAAGTATATAGATGTATAGGAAAGTTACGTGTATGCATAAATATGTCCGTGCGAGATAATGGACACTAGAGTAAATACAAAGTTGCGAGCGTATTTGAGATGAGTGTATGGAACGAATTCGATAAAAAAAAAAAAAAAAAAAAAAAAAAAAAATTAAAATGATTGAAACCGATAGAAAAGCTGGAAGAAAAAAAGTATATAATAAATATGTAATAAAGTATATAGTTGCAAACAAGACATGAAAATGGTGGATATGGATGGTTTTGGTGAAAATGGACGTGGATGGTTTAAAAAAAAAATATTCAAAGTAAGATGAACATGTGTTAGGATTGTTTCTTAAAAATAAAGCGATCCGAGTAACCCTTAAGTAATATCAAAGCTCTTGAATATGTAACTAATATTATTATATAGTCACTAATAGTATCAAGAATTATATTATTGCTCCACTAATATCAATAAAAATTATCTTATATATATATATATATATATATATATATATATATATATATATATACGCATACATCTATAACTAAAATCTAACGTTTAATTAATTTACACGTCCATCACCACCACCTTACTACAATTAAAATCCTATACATGTTCTTACAATGACTGATTATCTTTGTATTATACTTAATAACTATAAGATTAATAGAAAATATTCAATATTAATTAGAACAATACCACTTCTTTTTCCTACACCATGAACACAATGGCCTCAAGCAGATAAAATTCAACCAATAGCATTAATAATTTATTAAGAACCATTTGGTGTCCATTGTCATAGAACTTATGCCTATAACAATACCTATATTTGCTGAACCACCAAGGAAAGTAACTGATTTATCAAAAATATCTACACCTAATTTCAACGAATCCCAATTAATAAAAAATCGATCAATAGGATGGAATATGCGTAATTCGAAAGAATTTGAAGTTCACGAAGTAAATTTTCTTTATGGCTTTTAAAATTAAACAATTCATCCTATTTTTTTTCCGTAGAATCTTCTTTTTATGAAGAATGTATGCATAAGGTTGATAATATCGAGTACGATGATGATTTGAATTCCGTTTATGGTGCAGATCAGCCTTATTCTCCAAGATATCCAGTTTTTTCATTTGATAAATTCTCGTAAGTCTATACACACACACACATTTCAAGTACGTTTCTATTTTTTATTATTTTCTCGTTTTTTAAAGTCCGATTAATTCATATTATCGTTATCTTTTCAGATCCACCTAAGTAAACAATTTTAGATTAAATTCTTTAATTTGTATTGGATATACTAAATCTTTAAATTATTTGCCATACACACCAAACATATATAAAATATCGTAAATAAAATTATGATAAAAGTAAAAACGACAAAGCAACGACGCGTGTGCGAAAGTACAGAATCTATCTTGTATAATCTATTCTCAGCACTTGGATCATGATTATTGTCTGTACAATTATTGTTAAGTTACACATTAATGTTTCTACATTTATAATTGCTTATAATGACTAATTATGTATATGTATATACACATACGTGTCCTCACAATAATAACTTACATGCGTACAAACGGATATTGTTGTTTTCTTTCCTTCTTTCTTTTTTTGTTTTTTTTTTGTTTTATACGTACCACAATGTACAAAAAAAAAATTAACTGAAGTGACTGGTTTGAAATAATTCTCACGGAGCGCAAATATGTTTTACGTTCTCGTCTCTGACTAAGGGTGGAATTAATCGCTCTTTCGAAAAAAAATGTAGTATATTTACACAATTTATTTTTATATCTCAACATTATCGTATCATAATCATAATTCATCATCGAGCCATATGAATAGCAAAAAAAAAACTAGTAACATTAATTAGAATCATGTAAAAGGGAGGATTAGAGTTTCGTCAGAAGATCAATATATAAAAAGGAAATAACGGGAGATTCGTCGGAAATTGGCGTTGATCGATCGTTCGCATTTTCGTTTGTCTACGATCATATTTTAAAAGGAATCTTTCCTTTCTTTTTCTTTTAAAAGAGAAAATACATTGAATGGAAAATAACTTTTGCGACATACACATATTGAAAATCTGCTAAACGAGAACGATCAAGAAGAATTTACAACGAGCTATGAAGTTAATCGTCGGATCGCTCGTCTTCGCTTTTTTCTCTTCTCCATGCGAAACACGCACTAAAACTTTGCTTTTCCTTCTTTCTCATTTTTGTTTTTTTCCCTCTTTTTCTTTTTTTGCGTTTTTTCCTTTCTTTTTTCATTTTTTGCTTTGCATTTGTTACACATAGAGGATAGCGAATCTGTACGGTACAACGATCGTTGAATTTGAAGACCACCAGAGATGCCTGATGAATGTGTCTTTGTAGGAACTAAATCCAACCATCTTAGTATAACGTACGTTATTTTCTACAATACAAGTGTTTTTTCGACAAGTATCTCGCTGTCGAACGACAATGCGATTTATGAAAAAACTGGTATAAGAAAAAAAAAAAAAAAAAAAAAAAAAAAAGGAAAAAGAAAAAAAAAACAAGAAAGCAAAATATAAGAATTAAAAAATTGCACTTACAATTCATTGTTGCAATCTATTTCTTTTTGGAATCCTTAGAAAGTTCTCAGTAAGACCGTATACGTAATAAAAGAAAAAAGAAAAAAGAAGAAAGAGTAAAGAAAAAAGAAAAATGAAAAAGAAAAAAGGAATAAAAATAAATACGAAAGAAAATTGTTTTGCAAATGGACTACATTAATCTGATATTTTCGCAAAATCGTCCGAAACGGCATATACGTACAAGAAAAAAGCACTGCAATCTCATTACGTTGTGTGTCAGGAAGTAGTACATACAACTTTTCACGGTACGAACGTATTTTTAATTCTAATTAGTAATCGGCGTTGTAAAAATACTTATACTTATGCATTATGGTTCGAAACCAAATTGCAAATGTGTCGAATGTATGAACCGTATCAGGCACTATATTAGCGCGCTTGCACGAGAATCGCGTGTGTTATGTTTGCAATTAGCCAGTTTAATAATACATAAGAAATGATAAAAGTAAAGTCAGGAATTATGAGCTTTGGACTTGTTTCCTTTAAAACCGAAAGAAAATAATAAAATGCGCGAGATAATATGTAATTTCGTTATACATGCTTGATATATCCAAAAAAATAAAAACATTTTTTTAAGAACACGTGCAAAGTATAAAAAGTGTACTTTTGTTTCTAACAAAACCCAATCACTCATCATAGTAGTCTATAATTCATCTTTCTTTTACAAAAGTCTTATTGGAATACCACGAAGAGCAAGATCCATTTCAGATAAACGGATCAAACTGTCGAGATCATTAAGTCTTTTTAAAAACATTTAACAACAGCATATTGATAAAAAAAGAAAAAAAAAAGATAAAGTCAAGATTATTGATGTATTGTATCAATATTCATGTCCTTGACTCGATAATGTTTCCTGACTTCCTTCTTATATTCACTAATTATCCTGAATTTCTGGAGGAGAAAGGAACTGTGCGCTCCGACTTTACAAAAATTTGTTTTCACTTATATTACAATAACCTTCTCTTGTTTTGAGAGAATCAACCCTTAATATATTATCATAAATAAATTTGGTCTATCGGTAATATTGTGAATACGCCGGTACAAATACTGGCAGTATTTGGTTAAGTAAAAATCATGATCACTAGAAGAGGTAACTGGTACCGGGTAGTTTGAAAGTATTACGAATAATCTTTGTTATTACCGTCTGTCAAGTGTAAAGGAACAACGCGATCTATCAATTCACACAAATAATAAAAAAGGAATGTGCGACACGCACGTTACAACTTCCAGTAAACTTGATCTAACATTCTTTAAATGGATGGCCGGGGATTTTTGCAAATCTATCCACGATAGAAGACAATATCATTTACCATTCGAGTTTGTCTTTTATCCTTACAACCATAGATCCTTCTATGCTATTATACAATGCTAAGTGTTAATAAATCTTAAACAACAAACTGTACATCAAACAAGATTTCTGTACCTCGTGAATAGATCTGTAAACCAATAAGAAATAATATTTTGTCGATAAATCAAATTTAAAAAAACAACCAGTCATAAAAGATTCCTTTAACATTTCCATATGATCTACAAAACTGCCCCGGTCAGCATGCATCATAGATTATCGCGACCCATATTTATCCGCTTTTTGCAGCACTCTATTTTAAAAAAATAATCAATGTTGTCGCAACACTGTGGCACATTGGGTTCAAGACGAGCATCAACATTTTGCATATACTAATACATCTAAGTCCGATACAACGATAACATTAACCGAAGATAAGAAAATTTATAATTTACATTGTTGCAATGCATTGATCCTAGTCGTGAACCAGAGGACACTGAGTTGTGCACTGTATTGTGTCTGTATATGTGTACGGTATGTGTTTGCGCAATCACTTTACATTATTACAGTTTTTTTTTCAGTCTGCACGCTTTCCAAAGACCTGAAAATAAGAATCCCATTTGTTCCAATCTACACATAATATATTTAAACATTGCATTTATCATCTCTATATTAAAATAAGATAGAATATATCTAGATTACTGTTAAGTCAACTTCAAAGTATAAAAAACCAATTCCATCCCCAATGGATAAAAAACAAAACTAAAAAATTTCATTTAAAACCAACAAATCCTTACCACAACTTTTTTTTTTAACCTTCCCTTTTAATGGCACCTGGCGCTTCAGCTAATCCTTTAACTTTGAGTCGATCTGCGGTCTTAAGAAAGGCTGGTAGTTGATCCTGTGAAACATTTACTTCACCTGCATACATGAATTCCAGAATAGCTTGAAGATGACTATAAGCGACATCCTTTAAAATTATAATGGGATGTTTGGACGGATTTTCCTATAACATAATGAAAATGTTTAAACCCATAATGTATATAAAATAACTCAATCTTCACTCATGAAACCATACCTCTAATAGGGATTTAAAATAGGGACTACAAGCCGATAACACCATTTTATGAGCTTTACAAGTTTGCCCATCGCAAGCTAACGTTACATCTGTAAAGCTTTTTTCGTCTCTCAAATGTTTAAATGATGACACCATATTGGATTGGAAATCATTCCATTTAAGAAAAAATTGTTGTTGTTCTCCTGCCATTGTCGATGTCCGAAATTTACTATAAGCACTTAAACCTGTAAAAGATTAAAATTTTCATATCGAAGAACACAATATGCCTCACTCACTTTTCAAATTATCCTAAAAAATTCTAAACATCAAAAATGGAAATATTAAGAGAACAACAGAAGTTCAAAATCTTACAGCAAAACTGAAGGTTGTCTCAAATATATCGCGTAAAATAAGGTCATTAGTAGGATACATTGACACGTACGTAATTGGAAAACTATTCGCTTGGATTTACACGTAGCAACATTTTTAGGTTAGTCTCAGAAAGTCCCGCGAAAATGCGTAATTCTTAAGCAAAGACGCGAAACTATGGAGATCGACGACATCGAGTATTCGTTCCTCTAGTCTTCGAGGGCTATCGTATCGAAGAATTGAACGGATGACGATGGATCATGATATTCCCTTTCATCACAACAATACGCGTGCGTCCGTCGGTCCGTTCCGTCAAATGCGCTCTGGCCCCAAAAAACGGCCCATCGGAATTAAACGCGCGAGAAAAATAACCTTACAAAAATTTTATACTCGCCTCGATTGTACTGGCCACTGGAGACCTCGATGACGGTGACAAAACCGTACAAAGGATGAGAAAAATATACACGTATATTGCCGAAAAGTTTTTATGCGAACGCTACCAAATTTTTGTTGTGGCTAATATCACGGCGAGAATACTCGGTTAAACTCGGTACTCTTCGTATTAATTCGGCTGAAAGTTCCGTTCCGATAGAAGTTAACTCTTTAACAACCGTGAGATGGTGCTATGCGCGCCATTTCATTTCTCACTTTTCGATTATTATCGAAATTTGAATAGGAAATTTTCCGGTAAGGTTTCTAATAGCATATATATAGAAACTGAGGAAATAAATTGATAATAATGAAAGAAAAACGAATCCTCACTGTAATATATATATATTACAAGTGATTTAAAAGTATCTATTTGAATATGTATAAGTACTTTTCGCTTAATATATTTCTATTTGATAAAATTTCTGACTTTAAAAATTTCTTTTAAATAATATTATAATATATAAATAAAAATATATTCTCTGTATTTAACGTTAATAATATTTTCAGTGGAAAACATTAATTGTCACAGACACAAATGACATTTATTATATTACATCTATGCGAAAAATTTAAGTTCACACTTGAAATTAAATCGAATTAATACAATATTTCTTAAAGGCGGAAAAACCATTTGTAATAATATTTTAACGATTATAGATAAATTCGATCGTAAATATAAATTCTGTTCCACGAGGCTACTGATACTGATTATTATTCAATTTAGATAAAGTAGAAATATCAAATTTAAAGTATTCCTATATGATAGAATCTCGCTCGAAATTTGAAAATGTCTAAGAGAATAAAAAAAGGAAAGGAGATATATAATCGAAATGAATAATTCCTTTCCTTATTAATCCTGACTAAATGATGCAAAATTTTGAGAAGTTCGTGAATTAGATGCTCCCTCAAGAAAAGTTGTTGATCGATTGCACGATCTCGCGTAAGCAATCGATCGGCACATTTCTCGAGGCGCTATCCGACGTATCGAGAAGGAGATTTTATAGCTATAACTCGTTGGAAATCGGTTCCGGCCTGATGTTCTCTGACGTTCAACGATGATAATTTTATGTCGTCACCCTGCGATATATATATATATATTTCAATAAACAAACACAAAAATAGTTGAAACGAACAAACACATTTTTTGCACAAGTCGATAAAATAATAAGAACGGAATTTTAAAAGAATAATAAATAATATAGAATAAAACAATAATAAATAATAATATGAAACAAACATTCCTATTGAATCGAAATGGCGAGAAAACCAATAGATACTTAAGAAGAAAGCGAGGAAAAAATAAAATAAACGAGATATCTAACGAGAACGCTTACAATTAAACGTCGTTCACTATACGCGGAACGTCGAGGAAAAAGGAAATTCTTGGCCGGGGAATGAAAATTTACCCACCCGAAGGCCAGCACCTAAGTAATAGTCGTATGTACGCCTTTATATAAATAGAGTCACAAAAAGAAAATTTTTGATATATCGATCTAACAATCGATTTGACGATAGAGTAAAATCGAATGAGATCGTACGACACGGGACGATACAATCTAATACAATCTGATCAAAATTCGATTATTTTATTTTATAAATAGACAATCGAGAAAAGCTGAGTTGTCGGAAAACTTTTCCGCATGTCTCGGCCCGCGTTTCATAGGTAACGAAAGAGAAAGAGAGAAGAAGATAGATACATAGACGGATAAATAGATAGAGCGAGACTCATCTCACGTACGAAAAAGACAAAATATAAAAAGAACGAACGAATAGAAGAACGGATGGACGGATGGATGGATGAACTAAGTGTTTGTAGTAGTGTCCTGGTAAAGTTAACAGAAATGTACTAGTAATAGCAGTAGTAGTAATGATGTAGTAGTAGTAGTAGTGGTAGTAGTAGTAATAGTAGTCATAATAGTAGTAGTAGTAGTCAGGAGAGGAAAGAAGTTCTTTGGCGGGTGAGAGGAGAAATGTAGTAGAATAAAGAGAGAGAGAGCGAGAAAGGGAGGGGAGGGAGAGGCGTCCGACAGCGGCGCACTTTCGGCTCTCGTTAAGAAGTGGGAGAGAAGTAGATGCGTATTACGCATGCGCGGGACCACGCCGCGCGCCACATTGAAAGCTTGCGACATGCCGCCAAACCGTTCAGTCGCGCGCCAACTATCGTGCGGGTGGGATTGTTTTTTTGTCTTCCCAAGCTTTTGTTCTATACACGTATTTCTATTTTATCGCGAGTTCTATATATACGTACACACACACATACACACACACACACACATATATATATATGTATATGTATATATATATATATAAAACGATAGTAATATAATCAGTAATAGTAATAGTAATAGTTACTCGAGTGGTAGTATTGGTAATCAGTAGTAATAATATTAGAAGAAGAAAGAAAAGAAGAATCAAAATATCAAAACGGAACGTTCGATAGAGAAAATATTCTATTAACACGTTGGCGCGAGCGAAAAGCCCGCCATTTCAAATTGAAAGGAGTAGAGTTAAGAGAAGGAAGAGTAGGTAGAAGAGAAGGAAGAAGAGGAAGAAGATTAAGAATCGCGTTGAGAGAGTAGCCGCGCGCCAACGCGGCGACATTGGCGTACTTCTCTCTGCTTATCGCTCTCTCTCTCTCTCTTTCTCTCTCTTTCTCTCTCTCTCGCTCTATCACTCTTTCACTCTCTATTACTCCAAGTATTTTTCATCGGTGATAACGTGCTATACTATAATAAGCGCGCTTCTCAAGAGCGCCGAGTTTATCTCTCATACCGTTCTATAATATCTGTGATGTGCAAGTGAACGATGGAATCACCGGTCATGTACGATTCGGGGGCCCATCAGGCCCAGGTGCAGGGGGCGGCCGATCCGAAAAAGTCTCAGGTGCTGAACAACAACAATAATAACAACACTGCGAATAATAATAACAACAACAATAACAATCATCAAAACAACAACAATTCTGCCTTACAAGTTAATCACAATCACAATCACAATCAACAGCAGCAGCAGCAGACTAGCTCGGTCGTGAGCAAGGTGTCGGGAAGCAAAGCGAGTTTGCATCAACAATACGCGGAACACTGTGCTGCGGCGGGCGAACTTACGGATCTGAATACTCCCGAGATATCGCTCGATCTTCAGCATCTAATCGACGACAGTCATTTCAACGACGGTCTCTTGGACATGTTAGGTGCGAGCAATGGTGCCGTAAAGCACGTTAGGACGACCGGCTACCCACGTACTACCCTAGCATATATGCCCCAACCAGTTCACAGTGGGGCGAGTTATCATCAGGGAAGTAACAGCTGTAGCGATAGCAACAGTTCGAGCTCGGAATCACCTAGCATTAAAGAGGAACCACTGGACCCAGCGGACTACCGGCGTCACTGCCCTCAATATCCACCAGCCGGTTACAGTCCTGTCACAAACGGTCCCTTCGCTAATGGCGGTCCTACCTTCACAACGTTAACACCGAGCACCGTGCCCGGAGGACATCCTGGTGCACCGGTTCACCAACCACCACCTAGAGCTGGACAAACCGCCGGCCAAACTGCCGGTGGACCTATCAAACCGGTAATGGCCCATCAGCATCATGCGGCTGCTGCAGCAGCCGCAGCAGCAGCCGCCGTTGCCAGGAAACAGACCAAGGCCATCGACAAGGCCAGCGACGAGTATAGGAGACGACGGGAGAGAAACAACATTGCCGTGAGAAAAAGTCGCGAAAAAGCGAAGGTACGCTCGCGTGAAACCGAGGAGAAGGTGAAACTCCTCGTCAAGGACAACGATCTTCTCAAGAAAAGGATCGAACTTCTGACCGAGGAACTCAACGTCTTACGTTCGCTCTTCAGCAGCGTCGGAGTCGTACCCGAGCAACTTCACCGTGAAATCTCCAGGCATCTCGATCAATTCCAACAGCACGCCGTCGGACCCATGTAGCCCTCGCCGCTTGCATCGATGAGAGTCTACTAGCCGAGCCTAAGAAAATAGAAAAAAGAGAGAAGGGGAAAGAACGAGAGAGACAGGGAGAGACAGAGAGAAAGAGAGAGTGTGAGAGAGAGAGAGCGAGAGCGAGAGTGAGAGAGAGAGAGAGAGAGAGAGAGAGGGAAGGGAAGGAGAAAGAAAGATAAATAGAATATTTTATCGTTGACGATGAACGCAAGTGCGACCAGCCACGAGGAAAACACACGTTCTACCACATGACATGTCGTTTAAAATCTTTAGGATCTTTCTAAAGCCGCCATCTTTAAAAAGACGTCTCCTCTCTCTCTCTCTCTCTCTCTTTCTCTCTTTTTCCCTCTCTCTCTCTCTCTATTTCTCTCTCTCTCTCTCTCTCTCTTTTTCTCTCATTCTTTCTCTTTCTTTCTCCTTCTTTTTCTCCCATTTTCTAATTTCTTGCACTTCTCTTCTTATTTTACGCTCTTTCGCGTCTACTTCATTCTCATTTTATTATTATTTGTTTTTCCTTCTTTTTTCTACGAACTCTGCGTAAGACTGGGTGACTCGAACCGCGCGATTGGTACGACGAACGCCGTCCACCGGATGGAGAATTGGGTGGAGGGGAGGCTAATAAAGTAATAATAATTAAAATAATAATTATATAATAATAATAATAATAATAAAATAATAAAATAATAATAAAATAATAATAATAATGAAATAATAATAATAATAATATTAATAATAATAATAATAATAATAATAATAATAATAATATAATAATAATAATAATAATAATAATAATAATAATAATACGAGTTTAGACAATATATCCGAACGCGATTCCGCGCTTATCGACCATACATCGGATATTTTCGGTCGTTATTCTCTTTTTATTAGATACCGTTGAATTAAACGAACTTAGAATTTATTATTATATTTTATTGCTCTCGTTACCAAGTACCTAAAGAAAGAAAGAAAGAAAGAAAGAAAATAAATACAACACGTATGAAATGAAGAAAAAAAATATATAAAAAAAAAGAAAAAAAAAACAAAACAAAACGGCATGCCGAGATACCATCAATTACGATTCGCATTCTCTATTTTGATTGTTTCTTTTTTGTTCATGCTCTCATCGAACGGGTGAATCGAATCGTACTTTTCTTCTCGACTGGATTGAAAAGTGCCACGGCCGTTCTCGCGAGATTAGCTGATAGAGAGAAAGAACGAGAGAGAGAGAGAGAGAGAGAGAGAGAGAGAGAGGAGAGAGAGAGAGAGAGAGAGAGAGAGAGAGAGAGAGGGAGAGAGAGAGAGAGAGAGAGAGACAGAAATGTTACTCTCGCGGCGCGTTTACCGCGCGGGCCCGACCACTCTTCTACACGTCCCTTGTATTATATAGCTCTTATTAATTTTATTATTATTCGAAGATGTATATACACACACATAAAAGCTAATATATTTTGTTAGAATGAGAGCGAAAGAATAAATCTATGATTCTTGTGTGTGTGTGTGTGTGTGTGTGTCTGTGTATATGTCTGTGTGTATCTGTGTTTTGTGTGTTCGTGGAATGTACAAGGACGAAAAACGCGCAAGCATATGCGTCAAAAAACAATTGTCTAATTGATGTAAAGTAAATCGAACTTTAATATGGCAGATTAAGAGTATGCATGAATTATTGTGTGTGTATGTGTATGCAAAAAAAGAAAGAAAGAAAGAGAGAAAGAGAAAGAGAGAGAATTATGTGGAGAAAAATCGCGCAGACGTTACCTGGCTTCGGCCTAGCCGATTCCTTATATTTTCAGTTACCATGTATAATGTTAAAAAAAAAAAAAAGAAAAAACGCGTGAAGCGGGCTTCATTTTATGTTATTTTTTTCTTCTTCTCTTAAATCATCGCGTTCTATCGCGTATACGAGAAGACGTCTGAATCACGTTCTGTACATCTCTACTACGTCGTGAGAGATTCAGGATAAAGAGATGCGTCTCTCCGTTCCTCAATGAGATATACACACAGACAAATATACACACATGCAACACTGAGAAACATGTAATATTTTGCGAAGATGTTATAATAATATATGTTAATACACACAAACATATATATGTATATATATATGTATTAATATATATGTATCTTAACATATATATATATATATATATATATATATATATATATATATATACATACATATATATGTATGCTACAAAGAACAAAAGAAACCCAGAATGTGTGAGAAACAACACGACGCATAAATGTTACATACACACATACACACGTATTACACACGCATCGAGAAAAAAAAATTTTTTAACGCACACGAGCGCGCACGAGTGTGAATGTCATATGTGCACGCGTGACTTGGCGTATGACTGATATATGTTAGTTACGAGATTACCTGTCACGGTTGTCTTCTTGACTATGCACAAATATATTTTGATATAAAACATACATATCGGCTCGTGTCTTCTGTCTACCATTCAATTACTTCCAAAGAGTCCTTCCTTTTTCCTATTCACCTCTCGTTTCCACGTTTATAATGTGCCCACGCAAAAACCATGTTCGCTTCTCTCTTAACAATGAGGATAATACATCACCGCTCAAGATAGGCCTTAGTTCGCATAAAAGACAATCATATTATATACATAAGATCAGTCGAGATATTTTGGAAAAGAACGAAAAACTCGGGAAAAAGAAATAATGAAAAATACAGACACGATCGAAAAGCAATGTCTTACAATTAGTGTGCTATAATAATAAAAACATATGTTTGGAAAAGTGGTATCGCCGACATTTACATTATGCATCCTACTCATTGCGATAATACAAACAAGGTCATCGATCAAAAGACTCTTTCCTTTCTATAAAGCCGATCCGCAATGTCGATAGCCCATAAGTCAGGTTGACTTATCGTTCGAGCTTTGTCTATTCGATTAAAATGCACATACAAATACACACACACATACGCACACACACATACACACATACACACAGATACGTATAATTACGCCGGAACGCGTAATTTAACAAATTCGATGAGATCTAAACATGATCGTTTACGAACAACGATTCAAAGATACATTGATTTTTGTGATAGAAACTTGTAGGAGAACGATAACGGGTTACTTTAAAGCTGGCCGTATACCAGATACCTCAAATTAATATTCATGGATAGAAACAATCTGGTAAAATGGAAAATGATCGGATTCGTTCCTCCATCGCGAATATAGCAACGGCAGCGAAGAAAATGACTCATAAGAGATAAGTTTGTTGTTAGTCGGATAAATAGATTAACACCATTGTCACGATCGTAACGTTGTTCTCTATCGTCTGACTCGTCGAACAGGATATACATATGTACTATGATCTCTATGTGTCGATATCCACCATATATTATTGTACTATGATTAACTATGATCGTAAGTACGAATTTATAGATATATATATATATATATTATAGATATATATATATATATATATATATATATATATATATATATATAGATATATGTATATCTATAAGTCTAAAATCTATATATATATACATATACCCTCAACTAAAATTTCGATCTTAGTGAACTATCTCTTTGAATCGAATTCTTAGTAATAATAAACGATCATCTTGATTTACTATCATGATTTATAAGCAAAACTTTGATAAACGATTCGACGATTATTATCGTGATGCGTCACAAGTCTTCGCCGACCAGTCTTCAAACGTTCTTTAGCTCCCGGAAGAGATTGACTTTGGTATTCTAGATGTTTGATTGAATTTTCGCTTCCTCATTAAAAGCAACATATATGGAAGGGACAAACAGGTTTTTAGATTTAAATCAATAGAAAAATATTCACTCAAAATACAAGATAATTTTTTCTCTTTTAATTGTTCTGTTATTATAAAATTTTCTAATGACGAATCTATGAATATTTTTGAAAAACGAGAATGTATATAATATTGTATATACATTTATAACGTATGCACATATTTCTACATAATTTTTAAAACAACGATTCTCGAACGACATTTTTAATCGTACACTCGAGATATTCCGTCGCAATTAATCGTATTAGTAAATAGATAAGCGATACGTAAGCTTCCTACCTCGAGGTTATTCATTTTCGAAAGCCGGACTTTTATACCATTTAAGTCTCATTGCCTTAGGGTCGAAGTGCACTTCGCGAAAAGATTTTTATCAGTCGAGAGAAAGTGAATACCCGACACTAAATTTGGTTTTCTTAGAATTGATGATATATGAGAAATGTATTAACGAGTAGTAAACGACATTCTAAGAAAGAGAAAGAGACAAAAAGAGAGAGAGAGAGAGAGAGAGAGAGAGAGAGAGAGAAAAGAAAGAAATTTTTCAAATTACCCTAATCTAAGCTAATATACAATTTTTTACTTATGTTAATAGGTGCTTTCGTTAAACATGAAAAATCTTACATCGATGCTCTATAAAAAAAAAAAATTATCGCAAAAAGTAATAGATCTTATCATAAATATAATAACTCCGATACAAAAGGAAGGAGAAAGAAAAGAAAAGAAAAAAAAGAAGAAAGAAAGAAAAGAAAATAAAAGAAAAGTAACGTAAAGGTGTAATTACGTCTAAATTAATCAACAATTTTTCACTTATATTTAATACTTTGCTATCGTTAAATGTGAAAAATGTTAGGTTGAGTTTAAAAAAAAAAATTTCAATGCATAATAGATCTTATCGTAAATGAAGTATTTCCTATGTATATATACACACAGACACACACATATCAATATATATACATACATATATATATATATAAAAGGGATAAAAGTAACGTAAGGGTGTAACTGCAACATCATGCTCAGCTTGGCAGAACGTCTTAAGTTCGCTAAGAGGGGTGACATAATTAGTCATTAGCTTACGTCAACTTGTCTCAGGGCTGAAGACTGTCCAGGGTTATAAATACGCCGCGAGCACGAAAACATAAGAAGAGGGAACGACGATGAGCTCTAAGTTCTTCTCAGATTCTCAGCCTACTCAGTGAATGCGTTTCCGCTTTCTAGGAAAAACTTTAAAATATGCACTGCGTCTCTGTATACACGTTGCCATCAAACGGCCGCATTCTTCTTCTTCTTCTTCTTCTTGTTCTTGTTCTTCTTCTTCTCTTTTTTCTTCTGCATCTCTTGCTCTGTTGGTTTTCAATTTTTTTTATATTTTTTCTTTTAAACTCGCTATTAGAATAACTGATTAAAATATATTTCTATAAAGAGTGCATAATTCTTATGTACTTATAATAAGTATACAATTAAAAAGATAATGAAATAAGCATCTCTATAACGCTTAATATTCTTTTTTCCCTCTCTTCTTCTTCTTCTTCTTCTTCTTCTTCTTTTTTAATAAATAAAATTATATAATGTGAAACTATTATGTTATAGATAACTGTATAGGACCCTTCGAAAGTCTTTAATTATTTATTTTTAGTTTTTTTTTTCCTTTTTTCTTTTTCTTAAAAAAGTTATATAATAAGAAACTTTAATAGTATATATAAGTATACTTATACTAATTGTAAGTATAACTTATGCATAGAAAATTGTATCCTTCGTATTCGTATGTATCCTTCGTATAAATTAACTATAATTTTATGGGAATAAAATGAAATAAAATATGTTATACGTTATATATGGTATTTCTAAGTAACATGATGTTATAGAGAGTTAATGAGATAATTATTTTCTTCTTTGGGCTCGAGTTTTCTTCGATCCTTAATCGCGTTAAAAATGCTCTCGATACACGCATCATCGTTCTTACGTAACATTAATATTGACACACGTGCGATTATCACTTAAACGTTTCTTCCTTTTCATGTACTGTCGGGAAACGATGTGAGAGTGATAATAAAGGAAGAGAATGAACGTCGGTATTCAAAGATCTCAGACGTCACGATAAACGTAAATACAACTGCGTATTGGCCGTGTGTATAGACAGTTACTAATTAAAAACCACGATGAAGAACGAAATACAGTGGACATCGTACGTTCCCATCCTTGACATTAAGAATATCGACGCGAATACTTTTTCGAGCTTTCTACGTTCCACATAGCGATGCATCAAAATCGGCTTCGGGCGATAGAAACGCAAATTACATTTGTCGAGATAGCAACGATCTTATCTTTTTATATACGCTTGACTTTTGATATTCATCATTATTATTGTTAAATACCATAATCGTCTATCATAAGATGATAATTTAACTTAACTATATTCATTTACGTTTCGTTATTCTTTATTTGCGTTAATTTCTTTTTATTATTTTTTTTTCCGTTTTCGTTTTTCTTTTTCTTCATTTTCTTTTTGTTTAATTACGAACATCGCAAAATTATTTTAGAGAATAAAATCTATTTAAGCTTGGGATATTCTACGTGGAAAGAAAAGGAAGAGAAAAGAAAATAATCGAAAGAGGTCCAAAGTATTCGAACATTATACGATGAAACGTTAAAGCTATGACATAATGCGCCAAGTTTTGACGCCGAAGTGTCTACGTGCACGTGTCGCTGTTTTTAGATTCAAACCTTTTGCCAACCTCAGCTAAGAAATCCAAGAAATTAATTATGTTAAATACTTAAATATCGATTCGTTGCAAAATTGTTTTTTTAATTGGCTCATCGATATTACTTAAATTCGATCAAACTTTCACGTAGTTCTGACTAATCAAATATTCGCTATTTTTATAATTTTATTTATAGTAATAATAGTAATAATAATCATATCACTTGAATACGATTGATAAGGAATTAGATAGAATTAGATAGGTATTATATAATTAAGTAAATAGAATTAATAGATAGTATTAATAGATTTTGTAATTAATGCATCTTTATAATTTTATAATTTTAGATACAATTAATGGATATAGATAGATAGAATAAATAAATACTATTTATTATTATTAACTTATAGATAAATATATTTTATATATTTGATAAGAATTGTTATATTTCAAAATATTTATAAATTTTTAATATATATTATATATATATATTATATATATATTATATATATTATATATATAATATATATAATATATAATATATAATATATAATATATTATATATAATATATAACATATAATATATAATATATAAAATATAATATATATTATATAAAAAAACAGAGATGATAAAACTTTTCATATTAAGAATTTCTCTATTTTTTACTTAAATTTTATCTATCATTACCTATGATTCTTGCAACTCGCTTCACCTCTATTCTGGTTGAAACGGTATATGGGTTAGGGCCAGCTCTGCCAACGCTGGATCGCACCCACGCAAGCACGTTCCCTTTTTCATCTTCTTCAACATCCACTATCGCCAAGCTCGAGATATACATACACAAATACGCACACACACACACACACACACACACACACACACACACACGCAGACGCATACTTACGTGGGCACACTCACGCAACCAGTC